CCGCCGAGCCCGGTCGCGCGGCGAGCTCCCGGGTACCGCGGCCCGGGATGCTGCTCGCCAGCGCTGCCGCTCGCGCGCCGCCCGCTGCCCCTGCGCTTGCCTCCTGGGCCATGCTCCACTGTTTACATGCCGGTGAAGCCCCCGGCCACTCCGAGCCCCTCCGAGCCCCGGCTCCCCGAGGGTGAAGCCAACCGGCCCGAGAACTGGACTGGTCGCTCAGACCCGGGCCCTCCGGACTCAGATCCCCGCCCTCTCTGCCGCCTCCGCCACCATCTGGGCGGGGTCCGGCTCTGGTGTTTTGAGGAGGGGGTGTGGTGTAGGGAAAGGAATCCTGGGGATTTCTGGCTCCCCCCTTTTTTTTGGCCTTCGGGGCTTCAGACTCAGGGAACTCGCTCATGGCTTTCTTGATGAAAAAGAAGAAATTCAAATTCCAAACCACTTTCACCTTGGAGGAGCTGACTGCGGTCCCCTTTGTGAACGGGGTCCTCTTCTGCAAGGTCCGGCTGCTGGATGGCGGGGATTTTGTCAGCTTGTCGTCAAGGTAGGAGCTAGGGCAGTCGCGCCTCTAGGGGAGGGGGATGATGAGCGAGATCTAGCCACTTGGCGAGTGTGGAAGCGCCCCTTGGGGCCAAGAGAGTGCTGGGGGTTGTGTGTGTCTTGAGGCAGGTTTGCACAAGGTAGGGCTAAGCGATCTGGGAGGTCTGGGCCAGAGAAAGCTGGCAAGGTGCCGGGCACTGGTTAGCAGGTGACCAGCCAGATACCTGGGGGGTCTATTCTTTCAGCCCCTTCTTGGGGCCTTGCACGCAGCTTGCGTAGGCCCATTCTGCAGACTTGCACAAAGCCCAGCGGGGTTTGTGCCTTGAAGGGTGAGAAGGGGAGGAGGGTTCCAGGCCACCTTGCACTCAGCTGGCCACTTGCGATGTCATATGATTTAGAGCCTGGGCCAGCCACAGGTTTCTTGGTACTCCCAGAGGCTGGGAAGGCCTGGCCGTGGGCCCTCCTGGTCTGGCTGGAGGGGAATGGCAGGATTTTGGCCTGCCTAGGCCCCCCTCTTAGGGACAGCCCTCTTCTGGCTGCAAATGGGCTGTTTTGCATTGCAAATACTCTGTCCACCCTCTCTGAAAAAGGCTTGATCAAGTTTGGTTTTGTGTTCTTCCCCATCCTGCAGGTCCCTCTGCCCAGCTCATTGCTGAGGGCGGCTGAGTTCCCAAGCTGCTCCCACTGACGGGGCACATAGTCCTGGCCGGTCCAGGAGAGTGCCTGGGAGTCTGATTGAGTCCTAGCTCTGTCACTTTCTGGGTCCAGTACAGGTCTCTGTCAGAGAGGTGTGGAGAAATTTCAGTAAATAGAATGTGGTGCAGGGCCTGGCACAGGGCCTGGGGACGCGCTGGTTCCCTTCCCTGGTCTGTCCCTTTGCCCCTCAGGCCTCTTTGTGGGCCCAGTTAGCTGGATCTGCCTCATGGTTCTGAGATGGGAGTGCCTGTTATAGATGGAGAAACTGAGGCCCAGAAAGAGGAAGTAAGTGGCTTGCCAGGGACTTTGCAGGAGGTGGTTGTCAACTGAACTTGGCCTGTTTGGAGACCTGTTGGGTGAATCTGGGGTCAAATATCCGCTGGGAGGAGGGGAGAGGACCCATGTAGCCAACCCAGATTTAGGAATCTCTGGTGTGGACAGGTGGGTTGCCTTTTCTGTGCATTTGGGCCCGCTCAGGCCTGGAGGCTCCCCAGTCTACTGGGAGCTGCTTATCTGAGGAATTCAGACAAGGGCTGCCCTTTGCTGTGGGGGTGGCGCCGTGCTCGGTGTCCCGGGAAGCCTGTGATCCCGTGGCCACCCACAAAGCAGCGCAAGTTTTTAGGGAAAGGGCTGTGCTCAGAGCTAGGGCTTGGGGTCGGCCTCTCACTGGCTGGGTGACTCTGGGCAAGTTACCTAACCTCTCTGATTCCAGGAACCGGCGATTATTGGTGCTGTGCTCCTTGCTTTACTAGCACCTCTCACTTAACCCCTTGACCATGCCATGGAGCAGGGTGGAGATTGGGGGGGGGTCTGTAGAATTATTATGCCCATTTTGCAGGGGAGGATGTGATTTTTGTGAGTTAATACAGCGGAGCCCAGATTCAAACTCAGGATGTGCTTTTAACTACTACCATGTTCTGCCTTTGAGTCTTAGTTTCCTCCTCTATGAAATAGGAGAAATCATACCCACTCCTAGAGTTGTGAGGGGGAATGGGTAATGTTTATACCATGTCGGCCCAGGCAAATTGTTGTAGCACTTGTTGTTATTATGGCAGAGGGGCCCAGGCCCTAGCCCCTCCCAGGCCTTGGGGGGGATCAGCTGGAGACAGCAGGGGTCCTACATGTGAACTGGGGGTGGGGACAGGGTCGTGGATCCCACTGAGGAATTGGTATTCAGCCCCAGGCTGACGTCTCGCCTGGCCTCCCAGGCCCTGGAGCCACTGTCACCCTACCTGTCAGCCTTTCCATTGCTCTAAACCTGCCCTCTCATCCAGGAAAGTCTGGAAAGTTCCAGGTCTCAGCCCACAGTGTCTGGATTTCGCCTCTGCCTCCCCTTGTTGTCTCCTGGCAAGGGGCCATGGATTCCCTGAACCCAGCTGAGCCCAAACAGCCTTTCCTAGCCCTCATCCTGGATGAAACCTGAGTGGGGCTGGGGAGGGAGGAGCTGACTTTGGGCCCCCCAAGGCTGGGCACTTGTGTGGGTTCTGGGTATGTTTGCTGCTGGGCAGGTGTGGCTGGAGGGGGCAGACAGTGACGTTGGGGCTTGAGGCTACCCCCTCCACTCTCATCCTGCCCACCCTGGTCTGCAGCCTGTGAGCCCCACCTCACAGCCCAACCCTCCAGACGGCCAAGGCCCCATTGTTTGGGAGTTGGGGTAGAGTCAGGGGTAATGAGACGTGCTTAGATCCTGGGCTGAGATCCAGTAGCACGCTCCCCACAACCCCAGGTACCCCTGAGATGGCCCAGAGACTGGTGGTGGCAGCACGGGTGGTGTCTGAGCGAAGCAGGCCTGAGGCCCCACCCCTGCCGCACCCGCCCTCCTAGCTGGAGTGTTTCCCTGCGTGATGGGTGCCATGGCAACAGCTGGGTACACAGCTCCAGCCTGACCCAATTTGAGCAGGTAGAACAGGTGGTACATCACACTGTTCCCCAGCCTCGTCTTTCTGAGGCTTCCTTACGAACCACAGTCCTCACGGCTACCATGTTCTGAGGGCCCCCGCTATGTGCCAAGCACTGTGCTGAGTTTTGCAAATGGTTCGTCCATTAATCCTCTCGGCCGTCCGGAGAGGCAACAAGGCCAGAGAGGTGAAGCCACATGCCAGAGGTCACCTGGTGGGGAAATAACCCTTTTATTATTAGGGTTTAAGCTGCCTTTGACTGTGCACTTACTGTATGTCAGGGACTTGCTGAGCACCTCAGATGTGTGGTCAGTTGAGTCCTCGAACTGGTTGCCTCATGAGCTGATGAGGAAATGGGTCAGGAGACCTAGAGTGCTGGGCCCAGGAGTGGCAGAGCTGTGATTTAGATTGGGCAGGTCCGGCTGCAAAGCCCTCCCTTGCCTTGGTGGCAGAGAGCTGAAACAGCTACAGTCCCATATGGTGTCCCTAGACCTTTGAAGGTTGTTTTCAGTGGGTTGGGTGGTACAGGAAGCTCCACGTTTGGGTAATTTCAAGGCACCAAGCTAGATCCCATGAGATCTGAGGAAAAGGGGCCCCAAGATCGTAGATGGGGATGGAGCTGAAGTCACTGCCTCGGATTTGGGGCCAGGCACGGGCTGGCACTGAGGCACAATGGGCATTTGCCAAGGTCCCTGCATGGAGGCCTTCCAGGCGGATGCATCCAAATGGCATCTGGGAGGCTTTACTGGGGGTCCCTGGAGGGATGCGGAGGTCCCAGCCAAGTTTGGTGAGTCGGGAAACATGCACCGGGCCATGGTCTCCCCAGGGTGGGCTGGGTGCAGGCTTCCAGCCAATCTGTCCTTCAGGCAGGAAGAATCCCAAACATCCCGAGAGGTCTCTGTGTCCAGCTGGCACTGGTCCTGTGGCCTGCCCCGTGCACGTGGCTGGCGGTGCCAGGGGAGGGAGCAAGAAGGAGGCATCAATTTTCCTTACAGCAAGTCCTCTCTGGAGGAGACAGGCAGAGAGTGCCTCCTCAGCCAATGGATGGGGAAACTGAGGCCCGGGGCTGAGAAGTCATTTGTTCAGGGTCACTTCATAGGAAAAGCTAATGGCACAGTGGAGTGGACTCTGGTCTGGCCCTGACCTCTGTCCCCTGTGCCTCAGTACCTGTCTCTGCATAAAGTGGGCAGGCTGGGCCAGAACGAGAGGAGGGGCCCCTCCAGGGGTGCCAGGCTGTCCCTGAAGCAGACTGTGTGACCTGGGGAGGCCCGTGCCCCGCCCTTTCTTCTTGGGCAGCTTTGAATCCCCAGTTTTCTCTTCAGTGGGATTTTGATTTGGGCAACCTATTGAAAGAGTGCATGCCTGCTCACAGACAGGTGCTGCTTTCCCTCCGTGGGCCTGGCCTTGGGCTGGCGGGATGGGAGCCTTGAGGGATATTTGGGATTTTGGGGCCATGAAGAAGGCTTTGGACAGGTGAGCTCTGCAGCTGGAAGCCCTGGGCCTGGGGAGGTCTTTGCACACACTACAGGCTTTGCCCAGCCTCCGATTCCCTGAGGCCCTCTCCCTCCCTCCTTGGAAAAGGCTGCAGAATGCTACTGGAATCAGCTACCCTGATGCCTGCCCTCACGCACATCTTGGTGTGGGGGGGGGGGTGTGGAGATGGACACATGGTTCAAGCCCGAGGCAGGGGGGAAGTGGAGGTGCAGTGGGACCCCAAGTCAGGCAGGGCATCCACTTCACAGAGCAGAAGCTCTGGAGGCTGAGAGCTGGGGCAGGAGGAGGAGGCTGGCAGGCCTGTGTCCCTATTCCGGAATGCATCTACCAAGGCCCTGCTTGGTCCTGGGCTTTCAGAGGTGAACGGGACTAGACAGCCCTCCTCCCGTGCAGCTCCCCATGGGAGTGGGGCAGTGTGCCTGGTGGGCATCACAGAGACCTCAGAGCCAGGGAGATCTGGGATGGGTCCTCTTCAGGATTCCGTTAGATCCTGGTGGACCACTTGGGGAAGGCATTTCTGTTCAGTCAGCTGTCCATTTGTCTGACAGGTGTTGACTGGGCACCCACCCTAGGCTGGACATGGTCCTTGCCCTCATGGAACTCATGATCTCTTGACAGAGCACATCATGGTGATAGAGAGGGTTGCCCCGAGAAAGTGACCCTTCACAGGAGCTTTGAAGGCCGAGGGAGATCAGACTGGAGAGAGGTTGCAAAGAGCCTTGTGGGTAGAGGCCCTCCGGTGGGAAGGCACTTGGTCAGTCATCTAGGCGAGGGGCTGGTGTGGCTGGGGTGCAGGGAGGGGCTGGAGTGAATGAGGATGGGGGGTGGCTGGGCTGGACCGTTCCTGGCCTTGGGGGTCCATTCAAGGGGCAGAGGAGCAGTGTGGCCTGGTTTGCCCATTAGGGTGAAGGCTTTT